CAAATGCCACTTATTGTAAGTCATCAGTTTTAAATGGTAATGCTATGTGTCTGACAAAAACTCTGCAAAACACATTAGAGCTCAATATGTCAGCAAACAGGACAAATACTCATTACAGACACCCTTATTTTTCTCCCCCTATCATTAAGTCTTGGTGGTCATGGTTTGATCAGCATCATGAAGAGAGGCAAGAACATTTTACAGAGGTGAGCCATGATAGATACCTAGTTTTAGACACCACCAGATAAATAGGTCAAAATCATTTATGCTAACCACCACCAATAGGGAGAAACAGAAAGAAAAAAGGTTTGAACTTTCTGAAAGGTTAAGAAAAAGATAATCTGTGACCCTATTCAACTTTTTGCTCAATTTGTGTCCAAAACAGTAACTAGCACATGGTAGGCTTTCCATAAATATTGGTTGATTGACTGAATAAATGAACTGTCTTTGGACAGTCATAATTCTCCAATATACATGACAGAGTAAAGGAAGAAGGTAATCATTAAACCTGAAGGAACCTCATGCAATAATCTCATTATACCCCCTGTCTTCCCTGATTCGAATACTTGTAGTACTGGTACGAGATTTGTCTACTCCAATTTCCATATGAGGAAACAGGAACATTAAATGACTGGTATCACTAAAGGAAAACCGGGCTTCAACACTTCCAATGGGTACAAACAAAATATCTTTTACAGGAACTCTATGGATATTAGCTCCACAGCCTTAAATTATGACTGTTCTATGGAAACCTGCTAAAAAGATAAGCCTGTGCCTATATAGTCAAATTATGAACTGCCTTAAAGTAGTGCCCTGGTTTGCCCTAGCTAAATGATTCTCATTCTACAGGGGAAAACATTACGTGAGATTTTTAATTTTTATTTTAGTACAACTTAAAAATATTTGCCTAACAACTATAAACTACCTTAGAATATTTCAGAAACAACTACTCACACCAATCTCAGTAAGGTCTTGTATCATATATTTATTCCAAAAAAATCGGTCATCAACCTGGAAAAGGTAGAAAACAAACAGTTCAGAAACATGTTGTTTCAGTTCTCCTATAGAAGCCAAACGGGTCCATAAATTGTTCTGGTGGCAAACCCTGCTCTGAGCTGTGAGAGGTACCTTTTGCCAGAGAGGACAGGGGTCCCTCTCCCCAGCACTCTGCCTCTGCACTGAATTGGTCAGGTCATAGGTCAAGCTATAGTAAAAGGATTCTGAGTCCATGAACATCTTCAGCAACTCCTCAAGTAATCTTCTCTCCAACTTCTCCTTTTCTTTACTTTCCTTAACCTGTAAGAAATTAATCTACTATTACTGCAGGAATTAAATGTAAAGCATTGTGTGGATACCACACAATTCCCTAGGAGCAAAGTAAAAAATAATCCCAAGGATATGCAGAGATGGTGCTTTAATATGACAAGTAGTTTGAAAGTAAGTTTATTAGAAGGAAAGTCACCCCTCAATTTAAAACTAGTCAAAGATGAATTCCAAGCATATCAATTAAACCCTTACTTTCTTTTTATTAGGAGCAGACACATTGGATTTAATATGCGTAAAGGTCTTCAGTAGAAACTTTGAGTCATCAGGAGATGGTATAATCTTCTCTGGTTTGTTAATTCCAAAATGATGCTTCTTACAGAGCTAAATAATAGGAGGAGAAAGAGAATTCATTATTACTAATATCTGCTTGCTTAATGTTCAAGTGTGAATGCAGAAGTGTCACTACTCCTCAAGCATTGTGGTTAAAACATCAAGAGCAGGCAAAATGACCCAGTAGACAACTGATATTAGAAAACACAGCTGTGGTTTCAAGGATTAGAAAGCTACAGTAGAGGATAAGCAAAGAATACAGGGCAGGATGGATATATTTAGGATTTAGGGGTAGAAAATTCAGGTTAGGATCATAGTAAGTTCTTATGTAATATAACTGAAGAATACAATGCTCTCGTTGGGATTCATTAACGCTTTAAAAATTGGCATCAAAAATTAAAAATAGTGCAAAATACACATATGCTATGCTCTAGTCACACTTCTTTAGAACAATATGTGCTAAATATTCATGCTAGTTGAGTGTTTTGGGTGAGAAGTTGCGAAGAGTCTGCTCTATTGGGAATGTTAAAAGCTGGACGTTTCAACCACTCTCTCTCTTCCTATCCTCACACACACTAATGAAATCAGCATAAAAACACACTCTTTGGGTCCAGAGATTAAGTTTGAAGCAGAAAGTAGGGGCTGCAGAAATATGCAGTCCAACCAACAAAGGTGATGAAGAGGATGGGAAGGTGTTAAGACAAGAGAAGGGCACAGAGGTTCTACAGAGGACTACCTGGTTAAAGTCAAGCGTTTTACATATAATTTCATGTGGCTCAACACACAAAGCAAATATTCTGAAAGAGACACAAGGATTCTATTAACCATATGCAGACTAATTCCATTCTTTCAATACACTGGTTTTATTGCTATGCTAAGTGGCAGACCCCTGTTAAGATGGTTATCATTAGTAGTGTCTTACTTACAAAATAATTATTACTAGATTATAAACAGGATAAAAAAACTTAATGAGGAGAAAAAACTAATTCAAGATTGTGGGTTTTTTAAAAATATTTATTTATTTATTTTTTGGCTGCATTGGGGTCTTAGTTGTGGCACACAGTATCTTTTTTATTATGGTGCTCGGGCTCCAGAGAGCACGGGCTCATTAGTTGTGGCAGGTGCATGGGCTGCAGAGCAAGTGGGTTCGGTAGTTGTGGCGTACGGGCTCTCTAGTTGTGGCGCCCGGGCTCAGTTGCCCCACGGCATGTGGGATCTTAGTTCCCTGACCAGGGATAGAACTGGTGTCCTCTGCATTGCAAGATGGATTCTTAACCACTGGATCACCAGGGAAGTCCCTGGTTCGAGTTTTGATTATAAATTTTTTAAAAAAGTTAGGGGGCTGGACTTCCCTGGTGGCACAGTGGTTGGGAATCCTCCTGCCAATGCAGGGGACGTGCGTTTGAGCCCTCGTCCCAGAGGATCCCATGTGCTACGGAGCAACTAAGCCCGTGCGCCACAACTACTGAGCCTGCATGCCACAACTAGTGAAGCGCATACACCTAGAGCCCATGCTCTGCAACAAGAGAAGCCACCACAATGAGAAGCCCGCACACCGCAACGAAAACCCAATGCAGCCAAAAATAAATAAGTAAATTAATTAATTTTTTTTAAAAAAGGAAGGGGGCTGTTCCCATTTTATCAAATTGGAAGTGGAGACTGATAATTGAACGAAGAATTCAGATGTACTGCAATCTTACGGGTTTTATGTCTTTTCAAAGCTATGGCTACCAAACACTATTCACATGGGTTTCACAACACGATTACAACTTTTTTTTTTTTTTTTTCCTTGCGTTATGCGGGCCTCTCACTGTTGTGGCCTCTCCCATTTGCGGAGCACAGGCTCTGGACGCACAGGCTCAGTGGCCATGGCTCACGGGCCCAGCCGCTCCGCGGCATGTGGGATCTTCCCGAAACAGGGCACGAACCCGCGTCTCCTGCATCGGCAGGCGGACTCTCAAGCACTGCGCCACCAGGGAAGCCCACGATTACAACTTTACACTCCTCCTGGCCTACCAGTGAAGACAAGGGAACCAAAGGTGAAGTAAAAAAAAATCTACAGTCATTCTGCCAAAACCAAGTTAACTTAATTTCCCTTCAAGTAAGCAAAACTAACCAGATCTTGAGATAATGGGGAAGGAGCAAGAATCAAACATATGGACGTTGCTCCAGCAATTCTCTCCTCTCCCCTCTTTCTGCCTGATCATTCCCACCAGCACAGAAACACACTGATATTTCTCTCCGCTAACACTCCTCCTGTGCCAGCTAGGGTCCTACTTCTTTGTACTCCTCACTGCCTCCAATCCGTCTCCTCCCGTTCTCTCTCCAGCCCACTCCAACTTGGCTTTGGCCCCCACCACTCCACCGAAACCTTATCTTCAGTGTGACCAATGGTCTCTACTTGGCTAAATGCAGTGGTGGATTCCTGGTCCTTTTCTTAACAGCTCAGTAGCATTTGACACAGTTCATCTCTCCCTCATCTTCTCTGATACACTGTCTTACTTGGCTTCCAGTGGTCAGTCTTTTCCTCTTTTACTGGTTCTTTCCTGACCATTTGACTTCTTAATGTCTTGGCACCTCAAGGTTCAGTCCTTGACTCCCTTCTCTATCTGCATTCACTCCCTCAGCGATTTCATCCAGTCTCATGGCTTTAAATACCATCTACATGTCAACCCTTCCCTCCCAGCAGTACATTTTCAACCCCGCTCTTTGACAAAATTCTAGAATCACAAATCCCAAAGTTTCCACTTGGATTTCCATCAGGTGCCTCACACACAACATGTTCAAAACTAGACCCTTGGGCTTCCCTGGTGGCGCAGTGGTTGGGAGTCCGCCTGCTGATGCAGGGGACACAGGTTCGTGCCCCGGTCCGGGAGGATCCCGCATGCCGCGGAGCGCCTGGGCCCGTGAGCCATGGCCGCTGGGCCTGCGCGTCCGGAGCCTGTGCTCCGCAACGGGAGAGGCCGCAGCAGTGAGAGGCCCACGTACCGCAAAAAAAACAAAACAAAACAAAACTAGACCCTCATCTTCTCTCCTCTGCCTTCATCTCCTGTGGCTGTCCTCCCCTTGCTTGCTCCACTCCACCCATGTCAGCCTCCTTGCTGTTCCTCAACAAGCCAGGACTACTGCCACCTCAGGGCCTGTGTTCTGGTTATTCTCTCGGCCCAGACATCCTCTCCTCAGATATCTTACCATGATCTCCACTCCTGGGCACTCCACCCACCACCCTTACTGCACTCAACTTTTATTTCCCATAGGGTTTACTACTTTCCAACATATGACATAATATAATTATGTTGATGTTTACTGTCTGCCGCACCCCCACCATAATGTAAGTTCCATAATAGCAGAGATCCTTGCTTTACTGACTCATATATCTCCAGGGCCTTAGTAGTACCTGGTACAGGAGGTCTCAAAAAACCTTTGTTAAATGAATGGATGGGCTCTGACGCTACAAATGTAAGTGGTAACTTCCAGATTCATACATGGGGCATAAAAGTAGTCCTAGAAAACCATCACTTCCCTTCTTCCATGAATACACCTCATACGCCTCCAGCCTTGGTTAGTACAGAATTATTGGGGCAGCAAAGGAGCTCTCCTGTTAGCCCCCTGCTGCTGCTGCTGCTGCTTGCAGCACTGAGCAATTGCCGGCTAGTGATTTTTATGCAGAGTGTTTGTTAGTAATCATCTAGTCATATTCATAACACCTTCTTTAAAAAATCTGAAAACATGCCTTAAACCTAGTTATAGATTGTTGCAGTTTTAATATTCAAACAGGATATTATGCCTCTGTCAGACACAGTTATTCCTTAAGAGCATTCAAGCCAGCAAGACTTTCCCCCAGGAATATATCAAAGATAATTCTAAATATCTAGCTATTCTAAAGTAATCTTGCAGCAGCACACCAGTCTGCACCCACTCTCCTCAGTCTCAGAAGGACGGGAGTTGTTTTTCTCTGCAAGGCTGTGTCTCCTCTAGGATCAGGACCTTGCCCCGTCATTCACCCCCCCTCTCCTCTGTTCCAACCTCTCTCTCTAAATAGTCCCTTTCCTACCACATTTTAACATTGTTCAAGTTTACCAGAATCTTTTTTCTAAATCCATCCCTCAACCCTGAAATCTCCATGAGTGAGCAGGGTACAGTGTCACAGTCACTGGAACTGTGAGGACTATAGTCTGCTTGGAGTAGGTCAAAGAGTGAAGGCCAATGAAACTGCTCAGGCAGAGTGAAACAAGGACCCCCTCGCTCTGAAAAGGACAAACCTTATGTCTGTCTAAGAATGTGGCATTAAGGATCACTCTCTGCCATCTCGTCACCTGGCCCCTATGACACCCGTCTCTCTGGGCTCTTCCCCCACCTCCAACTGTTCCTTCTCTGTCTTCTTTGTTGGCATCTCTATCTCTAAAGATAATGGTGGCTCCCAATTTTCCACCCTTAATTCTCTTCCCATTCTTCATGCTCTGCCAAGAAAATTTCATCCTCTTTCCTCATTTTTAACTACCATTACATTGAACTCTACATTTCTAACTCTAATCTTTTGCTCTGAGCTCATGACCCCAAAATACATCTCCCCACTAATGAGACACTAGTCTCTCAAATTCAGCATCTCCAAACCTGACCAGCGTCTGTGTGGCAAATCTTGTTCCTTTGCTGGAATGCCGTATCTCAGGCAATGACTACATCGCCCACTGGATTACTTAAGCAAGAAACCTTGGAGTCATCTTCTATTATTCCACCTGCTAAAGTCTCTCCCTATCGACCCCAACTACTTCATGCTCATTGTTATTGTGTTAATTCAGATCCTTATCTTTTGCCAAGACCAGTGTTTCTCCAAGGAGGTGCTACTGGCTTAACAGACAAGAGAATTCTTTTCGGCACAATTATCCCACTTAGAACAGATAACCCAGCCTCCTTCCATGAACTGGGGGGTCCCACTCCAGCACCAGGCTTAAAGTACTGAACATGGCTCCAGACCCCCATCTCCAATATAGACCTTTTAGTTCCCTTTAATGTGTAGGGACCAAATCTCCACCCACCACTGCCTGCTTATG